TAAAAATGTCACATGCCAAATCTAGCTGAGGTGGCTCAATATATAGCGCTTTTGAAAGCGGAAACTGAAATAACAATTCAGCTGCGGCAATCTCAAACTATTAAGATAGGCAGAAGTGAGTAGTCTTTGTCGATAGATCTCTATTTTAGTATTTTGTCGAAAGCGCTCTTTTTCACGAATTTATATATTACAAATTTATTTGACAATTTTTGATAAATTTATTTTAATGACTTGGTATTTACTAAAAAGATTGATTTGAATGATTGTTTTGAATTCTTAGAATTTTGTGCATTTGCAATGTACCTAGCGTATGTTAGTAATGTATGTTAGTAGCGAGCAAAGCGAGCTTGGTTTGCGAAGCAAATTATATAAGATTGCGTAGCAATTTTTGGGGGTTGGCGAGCGTTAGCGAGCAGGGGGCACAGCCCACTAGTATTAGTATATTATAATAATTAGATCAAATTATTAGATGCCCTCTAGTTTTTTTAATAATTACATGTTTTGCACAAGTTTATATGCAATACTCGTATATTTAACCACACATGTAATGGGTTTTTATTCAGGAGATTCTTATATACTATATTAAAATATTGGACTGGTTTCATATCGCTTTCTCATTCTTTACAATCTATTAGCTTCATCTTAAATTAGTCCTAAAATTATTCGCGTAAATTTTGGCAGTCAATTCAATCATTAATTTTTTTGGCGTCAAAATTCTTTTAAATGTATTACCCTGAAATTGCAAGATTAAATCAGATTTATTATCGTGTAGCTTAGCAATTTTTAATTTTGAAATTAACAATTTTAAATGCCATTTCAAACCAGATCTTGAAGTTAGCAACAACTTTCAGTTTAAATTTAAAAAGTAAACGTAACAGAAACTTAAGCTAATTTTCGTTTCAATGGAACAATTTTGATTTATCGGCGTCACTTTTCTCTACATTCAATAGAGCTATAGCCATTGGGTATCTTTTTGTTCTAATAAGTAATAAAACATTGTATTAAATATAGTATTGGTTTTAGTGCAGTAAAAAGTTTAAATGGATTGCGCACAGTCTGGCCTAGGGTAGCATACTTCCTACTTAATTTATTACCGGCTTAGGCGTTGTTCGGTATTAATAGTTCAAAGTTGTTCGGACATCAAAAAAAATTCAGGGTTTTGTTTACACTTTTTGTAACAGTAAAGGTATTCGTGGGGTCAAAAGAGAAGTTAACACTAGAGAGTTCCTTTATAAAAAATTAACACTAGAGAGTTCTTTTATGAGAGAAGTTAACACTAGAGAGTTCCTTTATAAGAAATTAACACTAGAGAGTCCTTTTATGAGAGAAGTTAACACCTAGAGAGTTCTTTTATAAGAAATTAACACTAGAGAGTTCTTTTATGAAAGAAGTTAACACTAGAGAGTTATTTTATAAGAAATTAACACTAGAGAGTTCTTTTATGTTCTTTTATAAGAAATTAACACTAGAGAGTTCTTTTATGAGAGAAGTTAGCACTAGAGAGTTCTTTTATAAGAAATTAACACTAGAGAGTTCTTTTATGAGAGAAGTTAACACTAGAGAGTTCCTTTATAATAAATTAACACTAGAGAGTTCTTTTATGAGAGAAGTTAACACTAGAGAGTTCTTTTATAACTCTAGAGCGGTCTTTGTGTTCGATCATTTCTAATAGTTTGCTTGTAGTTATAAGCACTTAATTTATAAACTCTGGTATTGTAAGCTTTGGAGTTCTTTATTGTTGGCAAAGATTTAGAATGAAATAAGATTTAATTCTAAACTTGATCCCAAAAAGAGTTTAACTTAACATCAATTGATTGTGCCTAGTAAACGGTTCAAATAAAATATATAAATTCGAAATTTGGAACGTTAAGATCAAAAGGGAACTGGGAACATTTAAATTGAGTTGATTTACAATAATCAAGAATATAATATTACTGATCTAATTTGGTGAAATTTGTAACACATTCTAAATTTATGTTCGGACTTGCTAGAAAATATATAGTTTAATCTTTTACTCTGAGTCAACAATTTCTTTTTAAAGCGAAATTCCTGTGAACAAAAACCACCATTGCCAAAACGGATTTTCGAAAAGCCATGACTAAAATAGACATAGAATTATTAGATATAATTTTATTAGGTGTGATTTCATAAGGTGCAACTTCATTTTTAATTGCTCTCAACTTAATTTAATAACAGAGAATGGTAACTTTTTCCTAAAAGAACAAAGTCGCACTAAATTATAAACTCTTTAAGAACCAAGAACCTATGCGACTGTAACTTTATAACCTTATTGGAAAAAAATCTTAAAACCAGTATCAAAAACCAGTAAAAATGATACCAGAACCAATATGACCATACTGGAAATTTTAAAACCAGAATAGCATCATACTGGAAATTTTAAAACCAGTATAACACCATACGGGGAATTTTAAAACCAGTATAACACCATACGGGAAATTTTAAAACCAATATAGTCCCATACTGGAAATTTAAAACCAGTATGGATCATACTGAAAATTTCGACACGAGATATAAAATAGTACTGGAAATTTTTATACCAGTTTTCAAACATACTGGGAGTTTTAAAGTAGTTTTAAAATATAGCTTCATTCTTAGTAAGTACATATTTTTCTGGAAATCTAACAGTTTTGACATTATCAAACTTCGTTTATTTTTTTATTTATTATATACTTATTTCAAATACTTAATTTCTTAGATTTTTATTAGAATTCTTTACGTATACGATATCAAGGGCGGTGAAAGCATATATTTTCTATATACATTAATTGAAAAAAATACATATTTAAAAATATTAAAATCATTTTATAATTTTGAAGAAAAAGGAAGTTTTTGAGTAAGATTTTTACACATTTTAATTACTTTAAAATCTGCTTAAAGTCATTTAAATGTTAGTAATTTTCCAAGAAAAGTAATTTAATAATAGATTGTGTTTTTATTCGTTTATTATTTATTTACTCATTTATTTTTTGATTTACAAAATTTATTTTAATCAAAGTCATGATGATAAAAGAATATTATTAATTGTTAAATTTTATTATAAAATGTTTTTATTTATTTATTTATTATATTTGAATTTATTCTAGAACAATGTTATTCCCAACCGAAACTAATTTATCAATTCGAGAAATAAATTAATTAGTTCAGGTTTCAAACAAAAACAACTTCGTAGCAAAGGAAATATGTTTACATAAATTAAAAATTGATATAAAATCTCAACTTTTTATTTTCAAACATAAAACTCTCCTTCATTAATTTATAAATTTCAGTCCGTTTTTGAAATTTGTAATTAATAAATTTAAACCATAAAACAAAATAAACTTTTTTTTAATGAACTAAATAAATTTGTTTTGTTACTATATTTAAATTTAAAGTTCCTCTGAACGCCGCTTTGTATTTTTAAAGCTGTGTAATTTAAAACTTCTTTTAAAATAATGGCCTGGTTAAAACTGAAATTTCTGGAGGTGCAATTTCAGGAAATTCAATTTTCTTTTGGAAAGAGCGAATAATAGCTTAAAAAACGGATAAATTTCGGTTCCGGTGCTACGTATACAAACAATAGGGCACTATGCACATGTCCAAGAGGTCGTGGGTTCGATACCCACCGGCCGAAGACTCCCCGTGTAGTAAATGGTGACTGAAGCACGCTAAATCTGTCGAGTCAAAGTCCTCCCAACCATGTTCCCATTACAAATCATACCTCTGGGGGATTACTGGTCCAGGAGATTCCTTGTCTTCTGGATTGGTTCAAAATTACTAGGCTACGGAGGTGAACATTAATAGTCGTAAACCCAAAATTGAGTCGGCTGTTCAACGAGTGTTATAAACTGAAATATATTAGTTCCTTCAGCCGCGATGGCTACCTTCCAATGAGGTGAACCGGGTTTGAATCCCCAGCGATAGCTGATCGAAACGAATCCGGCTTGCACCAACCACATGAAATATCCTCAGTGGCAGACGGAACATGGGTTAGAATCCCTTTGCCGTCAGGCTAACCGTGGGAGGTTCTCATGGTCTTCCTATCCATGTGAAACAAATGCGGGCAAGTTCCATCAAAAAGTCCTCCACGAAGGCAAATTTCTCCCAATACTTGATCCAGGAGTACCTTTGTCTTCTGGAATGGGTTCAAAATTACAAGGCTGCGGTGTTGAACATTAGTAGTCGTAAACCCAAGAAATTGAGTCGGCTGTCCAACGACGGTTATAAAAAAATAAAATATATTAGTTACTTGAGACTATACAAGGGTGTGAAGCCAAATTATTCAACAAAAATAAGCACTTTTCAAGCACTCAAAAAGTAATTTTAAGCACTTAAAAAAATATATAACTAGGTAGCACGGTAAATGAAAAATCTCATTTTAAAAAAGGGAAAATTAAGCGCTTTTTAAAAACCTCCAATGAAAAAAGCACCTTTAAGGGCGTTTAAAAAACGAGAATCGAAAATAAGCACCTTTAAGCACTTTTCAAAAACGCTACGCACTCTGTATACTTTGATTTGTGCTTTAGTCACGTTAGGATGAACTTAACTTCTAAGTCTAAAGTTTTTATTATTCTTGGACATTATACCAGCTGTAAAATATTAGACATTTGATGTGAAATGAAGACAATGCAAAGACTTGTTTAAAATATTTTATTAATAAATTTTGAAGTACTTTAATTCAGAAACAATTTCAACAAACTCTAAAATCACGTAGTGACAACTTGTATAAAAATATGCTTCATAAAAAAATAATCTCTGAACTGTAAAAAAAGTGCCACAAGCAATATCATACAATCATATACAAGATAACCTTTTCAAAGAAAAAGTTATCAATAATAAATAAAAACAGTTATTTCTTTTGAAAACCATAATAAAATTTTTACACTCTTTAAACTATTTTGATTTCTTAACAAAAAATGCAATAAAACTTTAAAAATATTAACCCTTTGACGCAGATGGGACACTGGTGTCCTTTTTATATATATATATTTTTTTTCTGATGCTCTATTTACAAATCTATATATTATGGTATATTTTAATTATAAAAAACTGTCTAATAATTACTATTAGATTATCAGAATTATATTTTTTCTAAAAGATAGAACCAAAAAAAAGTAGTTTGAATTTTTTTTTTCCATTTATATTCAATAATAGTTGATTTTGTAAATTAAAGAAAATTTAATTCTGAATAATTGTTTCTCTTAGTGTTTGGAAGAATTTAACGCAGAAAAAGATACCGTTCCATGCTGTATCTCATAACAATAAATAATTAAACTGGTAAACATAATATCCACTTCTTTTGATCTAAATTAATCAGGTTGCATAGCCAGATTTTTGAATAAAAAATAAGCACCTTTTAAGTACTTTTTAAGCACTCAAAAAGTATTCTTAATCACTTTCCAAAAAAAAAATCATATCTAGGATCTGTGCAGTAACTAAAATTATTTTTTTCTATAATTCTTAATTTATAAACATAAAATCACTTAAAACTTCACATAATCATGATAAAATAACTAGTTTTTGATAAATATTGCAGAGAAAATTATAAAAATCATGAATTTTTTGTAATTTAGAACGATAATTGATACGGCAAAGAAAAAATCTCTTTTTAAAAGATAAAAAATTAAGTACTTTTTACAAACACCAAATAAAAAAAGCACCTTTAGGGGCTTTAAAAATGTAAATCAAAAATAAGCACCTTTAAGCACTTTTTTAAAAAACGCTACGCAACCTGTTAATACAAAATAATGAAAAAAGAAAAATATAGTCTGTTAAAATTCTGCGCCAAAGGGTTAACCATATAAGTACAAAAAAGGGAAAAAATGAGTAAAAAAATGCAACGATTCGAATCATTTAATATAACCGAATCATTTGCAAATTGCACAAAAAATAGTGTTAGCATTGGTTTTTCAAATTTTGCCGAACCTTTAGAATCCTAACATATAATCAGCTGATAATTTTCAAATTGCACAAAAGCTAGTCAAGACTGAAGCCTCAACATTTACCCGAGATTTTCATTTCTCTTTTCGCTATTTCATCAGCTGAAGAGAGTTCTGGCGTTAAACTAAAAAGAAGTATTGCATAAGTACAAAATCCAGTAAATTAATATAATTATTTAACAAATAGATCCTTAAGAATAACGCTCACACTTTCACCTTTTTTAAAAGACAAAAAAACCCAAAAGCCTATCATCCCCATTTCTTACAAAAAAGAAGAAAAAAATCCTTTCTTAACAACGTGACAAATATCCTAAAATCGTACAATAAATTCTAAAAAAAAGGAAGTTAATTCTTTAAACAGAATCAACTTTACTTAGAGTGGAATTTCATTTAAGAAAATAAATTAATAAAAAGGTAAAATTCTTTGTGTAGTAGGAAGTTCAATCTAGAAACTTGCTGTGAATATTTTGATCTAGAATTATAAAAGTCATTACCCAATTAGATTTAGTTCTGACAAGGTTTCAATTGTTTTTTAAAAGTCTCCTCCGATTCACTTAAAGAATCAACATTTTCTTGTAGATGGAATGAGTTAATAGGGTGGTTTCACAATACCGGTACAAATAAATACAATAAAACTCCAAAAGATATTTCAATCACTGCTGTTGCCGTTGGTATCTGAAACGGGTAGTTGCTCATCAGGTGCACTCAAAACTACAGGATACGAGAAGGTTTTACCAGCAACAAGTTCTTCAAGATCCTAAAATAGATTAATATAAAATTTTACACATAAATATCTTTGTTTGAACAAGAAAAGAATTGAGTTTATCCCTTGAATTTATCACTGCTTTAGAACAGTGATCACATCAGAATAGTGATCACATGATTTAACCTTCATGATCCTTATCATATGTGAAACTAGAATTTTTGACTCCAGTAGCTCTTGATTGTGTGAGCGCGACTTCAATTTGGAATGTTTTATTTAATTTTATTTTTTAACTGTTGTTGAACAACCGACCCAATTTTTGAGTTTAAGACAACTAATGCTCAACATTGCAGTCTTGTAATTTTGAACCTAAACCAGAAGATAAGGGATTTCCTGGATCGAGTATTGGGAGAAATTTGCCTTCGTGGAGGACTTTTCGATGGAACTAATCCGCATTTGCGTTACATGGAGAGGAAGACCTAGAGAACCTCTCACGGTTAGACTGACGTCAAGGGGACTCTAACCCATGATCCGTCTACCACTGAAGATATTTCACGTCAGCACTGTGTCGTTGCAAGCTGGATGCAGAATTCGTATAGACCCGCCATCGCTAGGATTCAAACCCGGTTCACCTCATTGGAAGGCGAATGCTCTATCCCCTGAGCCATCGTGACTCTTCAATTATTAAACACTAAATGGCGGTTGAAGTTTGCTCTTGATAATAATGAAAAAACTAATTAACATAGAAGTATTTACATTATTTTATCCATCTCCTGTATTTATGTACTCAAAAAAATATTTCGCGAAGACGAGCTTCTAATGCTTGATCCAAAAGATGACCAGTCTTCTGAGTTGAGTTCAAAATTACAAAGCTACAGGAACATCGGAAGTTGCAAATCTGATATGGATTGGCTGTCTAATACCAAAAGTAGGGCTTAGTAAAATGAATTTAGTTTAAACAATGTCAAACATTGCTTCTATTGTGGACTAAATCCTTATTGTTTGTCAGGGTATGAATATTTAGTAAATGTATAATAATCTGTACAAAAAATAATTTACATAACTGTAATGATCAATAGGTAAGGCTAATCAAAAATCGGAAAAGAACAGTAAAAGTTGAGATAGTACAACACTTATTTACGAAGATGCTAGTTTGCAGTTCTAGGAGGAAAAATGAAAGCGAATTATAAAAAAATTCTTTAAAAAAAAGAATAAAATTTTTTAATAAGTCAGGGTTGCCACTCAAGTCTGGAATTAAAAAATTCCCTGTATTTTCCCTGCATGCATTATACACAATACTAGGAGGCTTCGCCCCCTGTTCGCTTGCGCTCGCCAACCCCCGGAACTGCTTTGGCAGTTCATTTCGGATTGCTTCGCAATCCGATGCTCGCTCATTGGATATGTTCTTAACGTCTAGCTTTTGTATACTTTTTTGAATACTGAAGTTCCGAAAACTTTTCACTGGAGAAAATTCTAAACCTGTGCATTTCAATATTAATTTGAAATTGCAAACAGCTCACATATTTTTCTTGATCACACGATTCTAAATTTCAGTTGTTGAGAAAAGTAACTGTTGTAAGTTTTGTTTTAAAGTCTTTCCCACCAAAGGGCTAAAACCATGTGCTGTAAAGCAATATGAAATAGTACTGAACACCGGATGTAAAGCATCGGCTTCGATGAAGATAATTTTGTGAGAAATCTTTTGATAATTCGGTGAGAATTCACCCGATTAGACATATGACGCGCCGAAGGCTATCGATTAAAACGTATTAGCGTTTTATATAATATAGATTAGCCATATGATGCTCATTACGTGCTCTTGGTCGCCAAATCCTATCAATTAAAAATGAAAACTGTTGCCAACGCGAGAAAAGAAATATCATCGGTTTTATTGATGCATACGTACGTATTAGCCTTTTATATAATATAGATATTAAGAGGAAACACAATCACAGTGCTCTCGTGCGAGCTATATTGGTCTTAACTATACTAATTTTAATTGTTGGAAAAACTTAGAGGGGAAAAAAAGTAACAGCTGAACACACTTAAGTAATGCTATAGTCAATGAAATAGTTTAGTATAGCTGAAGTATCATGGTTAAATATCCCCTAGATTATGCTTCGAGTGGTGGTCACCATTTTTTAAAAGACGAAAATAGGAAAGAAAATTCACTGTATTTTCCCAGTTTGTTAGGAAAAACTCATAATTCCTTCTTATTTTAGGGGATTTTTAAATTCCCTGTATTATCCAGGTTTTCCCTGTTGAGTGGCAACCCTGATCGTGATTTTATGTTCCTCCTTTTGTTTGCGATTTTTAGACACTTTATATCACCTCTCCAGCATAAGAATTTGTTATTTGATAATACGTGTAGTAAATTGTGACTAATGCGCATTAAATCTGCCAGGGTCACTAAGTCCTCCAAGTTCCCATAACAAATCATTACCTCTTGTGGCACCGAATAAGATATTGATCTTTTTCTGATTCAGGTCAAAATTACAATGAATGAATGAAGTATAAATAGGTCCTCGCTTTATAACGAACTATGACGAGTGTCTAACTGAAGTCATATTCTTAGCAATAGATGGCACCACTGAAGAACAAGAAATGCACTCTCTGCCATAAAAATCCCTTGGTTTCAAACAGGCTTGCAGGTATCTAGCAAGTGATATAAGTAACAACAACAAAAATAACCAAAATGAATGTTTTCTACAGCATTTTTAAAAACTGATTAAAACTTTAATAGGACAAAAAACTTATTAAACATAACTTAACCCTTTTGTTTTAACAATAAAAACAAATCAATGATTTAAACCTTCGCATCCTGGTGATAATTTTAAAAAAATTAATTACAAAAATATATTTTCAAATTTTTGATTTTTCAGTGGGCATTACCACTATTTTAAGCCCACAGATTTTTTTTTAAAAATGTATAAAAGTCTCACCTCTCCAGCATAGGACACCAAAGGAGAAATTTCACAGATTCCAACTTCACTCTTTTCTTCTGATGTACTGTAAGGATAAAACAAATATTTATTATATATCTTTTCCTTTTGAATTTAAAAACTAGAACTTAAAATATTCAAACTATTTGGGGAAAAAAGACTAATCATGTACAATTAGCTCAATAATATTAAAAATAAAAAGGATTTTTTTTAAAAAGAAATACAGTATTAATAATTCGTTAATTCATTCAATTTGTGTATGTTGCGTGTATAATCCTATAATTGCTTCAGTATTTTTTCTAAAAACATTAAAGATCCTCTGATTCTTTAGAAGTTATGCAAAGGTTAGTGCAAAGAATTGACAAAATCATTCATTATTCAAAATTGTAGAAAAAGTACGAAAGGCACTTTTCTGAAAGTGCACTATTTCATATCAATCAGGTTCTCTAATGCAGAACAAAGTCACCTCTAACAGTGTCGGCGGAAGAAGTTGTCGCACCCCGGGCAATACCGAAAACAACGCCCTTAACTCAATTTTGGAAAAGGAATCTTTTTTTTTAAAATAAATCCTTGAATTGTCAGATTGGTGTAGACAAAACATTGTAGAGATATGCATTTTTTTTCTAAATTTTAAATTACAATATTTGAATCAGAGAATTATAACATGTGTTTATAATAATATCAACAACAATATATAATATCAGCAACAACATGTTGATTTGAGAAACATGTGAACAAGATAAATAACAAGTGGTTTTTCTGCTGCACATTCTTTCTTCTATCTTTCGTAAAACTTTAACTTATAAAGTTTCTAACCTTAGAAGACATAGAAACTTAGAAAAAAAAGTTAACTTAATACATAATTAATAAAAAATAACCTATAAATATATTTTCAAAGCAAACAATACTTTAAAAAAGGAGGAGATAAGTAATTTACAGAACATTAAATCTGGGTCTCGTTCAACGCCCCCCCTTACTAAATGTCACACAACGTTGTAAAAGAGTTCACAAGAAATAAGGTGATTTTTAAAATAAACACTATAGAAAGAAAACTTTATTTTGCTGCAACCAGCATAAAATTCAGGAAGGAAAAAAAACATTATACTTACTCTTTTTTTTCCTCATCAGCTGTTCTAAGATCACTAAAAGAAAAAAAAAATGGATTATATTTTTAAACAAAAATAGCAATATGTTACAGCTTTTTCTAATAGTTAAAATTTCACACTTAAAAACAGATCTGTAGATTATTTTTCAACTAAGTTATCCTTTAATATTTTAAAAGCAAACAGTTTTTTTTTTAAAAAAAATGTCTTCAAGCTTGTTTCTAATGAAAATTTAAAATCTGAGAACGTCACGGCAAAAAATAAAGTAAATAATTTCTGTTACTTCATTACAACTGTATAGATTTATTCAATTTTTTAAATGTCACTGCATAAATTTCAACTTAACTTTAAAAAACAAAATTATTATATATGTATAGTTTTTAAGGACCTTATATATGCAATCTTTGTCACATTTATGTCAGATTTAAGGTGAATTTTTACAATAACAGTCTTTGTCTCCCTGTTGAGATTGCAGACAAATTTGGATTATGATTTTACTAATTTTCTCTGAATTTTATAACTAATGACACAAATTTTATAATTAATTTTCTTTTAAATAAATATAAATTTATATTAGTATTAATATAAATTTATATTAATAAATTAATATAAACTTATATTATACTCATAAATACAAATTTTAAAAGTAATTTTCTTCTTTATGCACATAAGCATCATTTGATACACATTTATTTGAGTTCACACAGACAAATTTGGATTATGATTTTATTAATTTTACCTGAATTTCATAACTAATGACATAAATTTTACAATCAATTTTCTTCTAAATAAATATTAATTTATATTAATATTAATAATTTAATATAAATTTATATTATATTTATAAATATAAATTTTATAATTAATTTTCTTCATGTACACAAGCATTATTTGACAGACAAATTTGGATTATGATTTTATTAATTTTACCTGAATTTTATAACTAATGACATAAATTACAAAAAAAAAATTTCTGAATAAATAAAAATTTATATTAATAATTTAATATAAATTTATATTATAATTATAAATCTAAATTTTATAATTAATTTTCTCCTTCATGCACACAAACATTATTATATAACTTATGCCACTTGCTAATAATAAATATTAAGTTGAAGTATTATTTTAGAAATAAACTTAACTGAAAAGATTCAGTTAGATTGCTGCAGGGAAATATAATGTAAGACACCAACATTTTATTTTATGCTGCTACGTATAAAAGATCAACGGTAATAATATTCACTTACAATTCCTTTAGAAACCTTATAGATCATAAATGTTTATAATAAAATAATGCTTCCTCAAAAATAAAGGCAAATGTTTTTTATTTTGATAGCATAATATTTTCTAATTGTTAAATCAATTTTTTCGAACAAAAAGATTTAAAAATGATGAAAATTTCTATATGAATTTATAAATAGACTAAATATAAATGCATTGAAAAGACTAAGAACTTTTATTAGATATCCATTATCTATTTATTGATATTAATTGAACCCAGATGAAGAAAATATCGTTCAGAATTTAAATAAATTTTTTAATAAGTGTATCAGACCTCTATTTCTTCCAAACTTAAATTTATTCAATTTTCATGATATTTTGTTCCTTAACATTTCTCTGCTTTTTTTCCAAATTGATAAAAAAAACTCTGGCTTTTCCTTACTCTCCCTGATTATCATTTTTTGTGACAGTCTTACAAATAAAATCACCGCATACATCAACCCAGATAAAACCACACTAAAAGTTTGTGCTGATATTTTTACATGCGTGTAGTGACACATCACAACTAATAACAGAAACCCTCCAGACCACAAGCAAGTGCTGCAGATTATTACAATATCTGCAGATAATTTTTCATAGAAATTTTCTAACTATGTATTTTTAAAGTTTTTATTTATTTATTTTCAAAAACAAACAAGCAAATTGGGTAAAAAAATTTAGACTCCTCTTTAAAAAATCATTGTTTCTAATAAAAATTAAAAATCTGTATTGATTTAATACAGCAAAACTCAAGTAAAGATTTTTCTGCTTCTTAATTACAGGTTTAACTGTATAGGGATTTATTCTATTTTCTTACTAACATTGTATAAAATTCAATACAAATTGGAACAAGATAAAGGTTTTACGTTTAGGGACCTTAGATTTGCAAATTTTCCAATATTTATGTTAGATTCAGCTGAATTTTTACAATAATAATCTCTGTCTGTCTGTGTTAAGAATGAAAGCAAAGTTGAATTTATGAGGAGTGCTGCAGATTCAAAATGTAAATTCTGCTACTGGGCTAATGACTAAGTTTTTTAAAGAAAATGTTTTCAGAGCCTTAGAACAGTTCTTACTCAAATCAAAATTCTTGATGGTCCCATCAGATCATTTCGATGGTTTATGTTGGTTTCAGTGGTATTCATGATGGTTCAAACATCATTTGAAGGTCACCACCATCCAACATTTACCATTATGTGCTCATGGTGTTTGATATGCCAACATGCTTTCATCATTCCATGATGGAAAATGCTACTTTAATACATTAGGATGGTTAACTATTAAGAAAAGTTTGACTCTCATGAACCAACAATCCATGATGGTTCCAACTATACATTTCCAGGACGGTTTAATGGGAATTCTTGTTGGTTCTCAAGAATATACTATCAAAACAATGCTTTTTTTTGGACCATCATATATAAGTCCCAATTCCTACATTGGGATGATGGTTGTTCATGATCATTCCAACATTTGATTTCTAAGAAACCATGATGGAAATTCATGATGGTTCAACATGAACAAACAAGTTATTATTCTTATGTTGGATCATCACAAATCAGTCCGAATTCCTACATTGGGGTGATGGTTACTTATGTTGGTTACCATCAAAAAATATAATGGTNCAAAGTCCTCCATGTTCCCACAACAAATCAATACCTCTGGGGGTACTGATCCAGGAGTTTCCTTGTCTTCTGGATTGGTTCAAAATTACAAGGCTACGGAGTTGAACGTAAGTAGTCGTAAACCCATGAAATTGGGTTGGCTGTTCAACGACGGTTATAAAATAAAATAAAATATCTGCAAATAATTTTTCATAGAAATTTTCTAACTATGTATTTTTAACGTTTTAAAATATTTATAAGTTTTCATTTATTTATTTTCAAAAACAAACAAGCAAATTGGGAAAAAATCATTTAGCCTCCTCTTTAAAAAATCATTGTTTCTAATAAAAATCTGTATTGATTTAATACAGCAAAACTCAAGTAAAGATTTTTCTGTTTCTTAATTACAGGTTTAACTGTATAGGGATTTATTCTATTTTCTTAATAACATTGTATAAAATTCAACACAAATTGGAACAAGATAAAGTTTTACGTTTAGGGAACTTAGATTTGCAAATTTTCCCTTATTTATGTTAGATTCAGCTAAATTTTTACAATAATAATCTCTGTCTGTGTTAAGAATGCAAGCATATTTGAATTTATGAGGAATGTCGTAGACTCACAATGTAAATTCTGCTACTGGATTAATGACTAAGTAATTTAAAGAAAATGTTTTCATAGCCTAAGAACAGTCCTCACTCAATTCAAAATTCTTGATGGTCCCTTCAGATCATTTTGATGGTTTATGCTGGTTTCAGTGAGATTCATGATAGTCAAACATCATTTGAAGGTCACCACCATGCAACATTTACCATTATGTGCTCATGGCTTTTGGTATGCTAACATGCTTTCATCATTCCATGATGGAAAATGCTACTTTAATACATTAGGATGGTTAACTATTAAGAAAAGTTTGACTCTCATGAACCAACAATCTATGATGGTTCCAACTATACATTTCCAGGATGGTTTAATGGGGATTCTTGTTGGTTCTCAGGAATTTACCATCAAAACAATTTGGATATTTTTTATGTTGGACTATCATAAATCAGTCCGAATTCCTACATTGAGATGAGGGTTGTTCATGATCATTCCAACATTTGATTTCTAAGATACTATGATGGGAATTCGTGATGGTTCAACATAAACAAACAAGTTGTTATTCTTATGTTGGTCCATCTTAAATCAATTCGAATTCCTACATTGGGATGATGGTTACTTATCAAAAAATATACTGGTTCATGATGGAATTATTGATGGTTACCATCAAGATTATGTTGGTCCATCAATGGAAAAAAATTAAAAATTTTAACTTTGGTAGAAAGAGACTTTAGATAGTGAATACTCAAACACAAATATATAAACTTTTCATAAACTCAAATTTTAAAAAAGAGAATACTTAATGCAGGAACTTACACGGAAACAAAACTATCACATTTGTCATCCTCAAATCGTCCTCCAGCTCTTTTGATGTATTGTCTATGTAATGCATAAAGAGAACATCTAGCGGTGGTGGGCGTATCCTTCGCACTATCATCAGAATTTTTCAGAGGGGAGAATTCTTCATCCCGATTCACTTCCCATGCAACAAATTTACTGCAAAAACAAAAAATTTCTTAAAAAACAAAGCAAAATGTCAAGCATTCACATTATGGTTAAAGTTATAAATTTTATTTTTTTTAACTGTAACTACAGGTAATTAATAATTGTCAGTTACAAATAATAATCAATAGTCAAGTTAATGTGATAGTATATTCTTTAAATATATTCACTTTTAACTGGCCTATTTGTTATCAATATGATTACTATTAATAACCAATTAACCTTAGCGTAATTTGTCTATGGTAAGACCTCCCCCCACCACAAAGTCTGAGGCTGCCTGCTGCTATGGGAACAAGAATAGCACATTTCAGGGAGGGTAGCTTCTCTTCACTCTAGAGCTAACACAATAGACCAAAGAACCTCTTCCTTGTCTCTCGTGGACCCGAGCTTAAACCTGTCCTAAACAGTGATCCCACACCCCTACTTGAAATGGGTATACCTCATTACCATAGTCACCGCCATGAGTCCAGACGAAAGGATAGGGGAGTTCTTACTTTAGACAAACTATACTACCTGTACCATATACATGAATAACCAGAATGGAGTACAAAAATAGACAATCTATAACTAAGAATAGTCTTCAATGTTGAAATAGAGAAAAGGAAAACAGATGTAGGAGGAAATTACAACCTGGAGAAAATAGAGGTAGAAAGAATACAAAATAATCAACAAATGAGAGATAAGAAAAAGTGTGGTGCGGTAGGGGGAGAACGCCAGTTGTTGCAGATTTTAGAAAAAAGCGAAAATAGAATTTCAAATGTTTGAAAAGAATTGAATGATAGGAAGATTTTTAACTAATTTATCAGATCAGAATTTTTCAAAATATGAAATGATTTCCAGAAATCCACCTAAGTCAGTGGTTGTAAGGTGCAGTTTTGAATAATTTTAGTGCAAATTTCTAACAAACATTCTTTAGGGTGGTAGAATATTGTTTAATATTTTGATTTGGAATATATATCTTGTGTTCTTAAGGTTAAAGTGTAAGGGTAAAATTTAGTTTGCCCAATTTATGCAGATCAAATACTGACAAGAAATTTGATTTCATAGCTTTTAATATCCACATAGGAATACTACAGAGCAACAGAAACTTCGGCGTGACACAAAATTCAAAATTATCAATAGCATAATTGCACAATATTAATATTTCGAAAAAAACTTCAGAGAATAAAATTTTTTTCCATCAGTTTCTTGCAATTCTATTTTAATGTTGACAACGTTAGCAAAAGAAAGAAAATAATTATCAAATCATTTTTCTTGAAAATCAATTACAAGAAACATATGTTGTTTTTGTTCTATGATGTTATGCTTCTTGAAATATACGCTGCTTTTTCAATTTGCATGGTAAAATAAAGCATTTGGATGGTCTTCAAAAAGGATGAAATTTAGCTTGTTGAACAGGAGAAATAAATTTGTTTTAATTATCACGTATTCAAAATTTTGGCAATTTGGTGACTGATAAGGTAAGACAATGAAGACTATGACGATTACAAAGTGGAAGCAATAAAACTGCTGTGTATCTTTTTTTCTTCTTTAATTAACAAGAAAAACAAAAAACGTAACAAAAGCAATGATAGTAAATAAACTAATAAAAAACAATTAGTTGATTTAGTAAAAATTATTTTCTGAACAATAATAAGAAAAATTAAATTCATTTTTTTTAAAAAAAAGTGATTCAATGATAGATCATATAAAACAAAAATGTAGCAGTCGATACAGTTTAAACTAATTTAATTATTTACAACAGAAAGTATCACTCACTCTGAAAATTCAAATACATCAAAAACAAATTTCTCCAATTTCATCCCATTGGGTTTGATCGGTTTCACTGTTTTTCCATCATCACCAGCAAAAGGAATTTTCTTCTGTGCTATATGATGTTTGAGTTTTTTATCACCCCTAAAAGAAAGTTTAATAATTATTTTTCATATTCACTAAGATATATTTGTTATTAACAAAGTAGTATGCAAATAGGACGGGACAGCGTGGTTGGTAGGGCACTGGGCCCACGTCCAAGAGTTTGTGAGCTTGATCCCTGCCAGCCGAAGACTCCCCCATGGGTGCAAGTTGGATAAAAGGCCAAGACTGAAAATTTTTTGACTGAAATACCTAACTTACACAATACCCCCTCGACATATGCAAACTATCTAAGAAAGCTTTACCATAATACATCAAGTTTAAATACTGTACAAAAAATATTTATTCATCTGTCTTTTGATAAAATAACAACAGGGCATAAGAGAGTAGACCAATAACGTAGACCTAAAAAATATTTTTAAGGACAGGAAAAAAAAATTCCGATTTCCGTCTTCGAGTCAGTCTTGTTTCCGTCTTACTTCCGTCCGCGGACATTTTCGAAAGACGGAAATCCATCCTAGAGACGGAAGACTTGCACCCATGAACTCCCCACATAGTAAAATGGTAACTGATGCACGTTAAATCTGTCGAGTCGCAAAGTCCTCCATGTTCCCATTACAAATCATACCTCTGGGGTACTTATCCAAGAGTTTTTGTTTTATGGATTGGTTCAAAATTACAAGGCTACGGAGTTGAACATTAGAAGTCGTAAACCCAAATATGGGTTGGCTGTTTAATGACGGATAAAATAAAATAAAGTACACAAATCGAGCGGTGATGGCTCAGGGGATAGAGCGATCGAATCCTAGCGATGGCTTGTCAATACGAATTCTGCATCCTGCTCGCACCGACCACAGTTCTCACATAAAATATTCTCCGTAGTAGACAGATCATGTGTTAGAGTCCCCTTGCTGTCAGGCTAACCGTGGGAGATTTTCCTGGCCATGTAATGCAAATGCAGGTTAGTTCCATCAAAAAGTTCTCCACAAAGGCAAATTTCTCCAAATACTTGATCCGGGAGTTACCTTGTCTTCTGGATTGGGTTCAAAGTTACAAGGCTACAGAGTTGAACATGAGTAGTCATAAACCCAAACATTTGGGTTGGCTGTTCAGTGACATTTATAAAATAAAATGAAAGTTGGGGAGCCCCGCCCACTTAAGGAGTATTGCTTATATTTCTGTATAATATTGAGTACTAATCAATATTTTTGTATGTTTCTATTGTTTTATCATCTAATTAAATAATGCAAAAAGAATAAACAAAAAAAAGAATAGTTTAACTTAAAAAAATAGAAATTTAAAAGAACATGCTTTTCAGTTCTTTTTCAAAATGTGTCGGGTAGCCCAGCCCAGTTACAAAAATTATGTTTTTTTGACTGTTTTTTCAGGTGTAAATGAAAACGACCAATGTATTGACAATAGATAAACCTCATTTATCATTTTTATCACAAAATTCACTGATTTTTCTTAATATCATGACTACTGTATTCAACATATTTTCAAAACTATTGTTTACCATGTTACCAGCTGCATAAATACTTGAAACTTTGAAAATAATCTTTTTTTAATATAACAATTAATGTCCGATGGCCCATTGACTTGAAAAAATATTCTATACATATGAAATTGACAGTGGGCGGGTGTACCCGACACTCCCCTATACAAATAAAACAAAGGTATTCTCATTAAATCATCAACCCATCATTAGAAAAATAATTTAATATAAAAATTTCTGTCTTGCCTTTCAGGAACCATTTCTGAAAATGGAAAATTTTCATATGTATATAAGCTTGGTAATATTTAAAAAAATTTATTCAATACAGAAAATTTACACGAAGTATTGTAGAATTTTTTTTGCATAAAATTATCTTTGGATAAAAAAAAAACTTATAATGATCGGAAAAAATTTTTTAAATGCTAGAAAATAAACAAGATAAAAGAAAAATACTTTTCATACTTTTTCAAACCATTACATAACATTTAATAATGACCCCCGTTTATCATTTTCCTATATTGTTGTTGACGTATGCCTGTTTAGGCAGAGGGAGTGCGATTGTTCTAGTTTTCCAGTGGCGCCATCTATGGCTAAGAATTCGACTTCTGCCACACCATACGTCACACCCCGTTTATAGGGCGGATCCATTCATTCATCCACAGATCAGAATTTTGATCTGAATCAGAGAACGATCGATCTCTAATCCAGTACCCCCGGTATTGATTTGTTATGGGAACATGGAGGACTATTGCGGCTCGACAGATTTAACGTGCGTCAGTCACTTTATTACACGGCGAATTTTCGGCCGGCGGGGTTCGAACCCACGAGCTCTCGGATATGGGCCCAGCGCCCTACCGACCAGGCTATCCCGGCATCTTCCTATATTTATCATTTGAAATGATGAGAAATTATAGAGGTTGTATTTTGATACTGCGCAACGTACACAATTTGAATTTTTTAAATTCATACTGTACCCCCAAGAAATATTTTAACAAAGCCCACACACCATCTAAAAGATATATATCTTTATATGATGGTTTTAAACACTCTGCCTATAAATAACTGAAGCAAATTGATTATTGCAGAAACATTTGGAAAGTAAATATGTATTGTTCTATATAACTGACAGAAGAAATGTTCTTCATAAAAAAATTTAATGAAATAAAATGTATGAAAATATTGCCATACTTTCCAATTTGATGTAGAAAATCAACAGTGAAAAAGTGATTGCAGATATTTCCAGCATTGAACATAAGCCTTCCATTTTGGTTTCTCTTCTCTGCCGTTGCCAAGGAAATCTCACTGTACTCAACCACTTGGAATTTTCCCCCTACTCTGCAAACAACTCCAACAGCCTCTGTGGGAATGACTTTTTCCACCACCTGTGTTAAAAAGAGAAAAGTGAATGCATATAACACAATAACCTACAGGCCTAGGGCCCCCAGATTTCTGGGAGCCCCCTAAATGTTACAAATATAATCTATTTTTGTTTTTCCTTAAGAATTGTCTATTAGAAATAAGAGTTAACAAAAATTGAATTAAGTATAACCCTAAATTTACCTATATATTGCAATTTACTTATGTTATAAATAATTTAAAAACTCTTCGTAATTAAACATACAAATTCGGTTCAAAGTAACAACCTGGGGGCCCCTGAAAGTTCAGCGCCTAGGGCCCCCGCTTTCCTAGATCAGGCTCTGGAACATACACATTGTTTGAGGTCGAGGGCTGTTAATAGATCGCAAGGGAAATTTTCGGCACATAGTGATAACACCGAGATTGGCTAACCTTGATTCTTCTTGATAAAAACGATTTTTTTTTTAAAAATCCGTAGTTTCTTTAATTAGTCGCTCACACTAGGGTTTAAAATGCTACGGTAGTTCAGAAGCTTCATCATAAGTTCGGCAACCACTATTTGAGACATTTACAAAAATAACAAGTGTTCAAAATAGTGCACTTATTTTTGCCTTCTACTAAGACAAAAAAGAAATCTTTCATAAGAACATACATTATAAAGATGGCCAAATGTTATGATTAAGAGGTAATAATTAAGACCATTATTTCTTGCAGGTTAGGATAATTAAAAAGGAAGACAAAATGTCTGACACTGAAAGGTTTTAAAACAGCTTTTATTTACTTAAGTAATTTAACGTAGAACTCAGTATTCTTGATTGTGCTGTTACACATGTCATTGTGACTTTAGTCAATAACTGTTTGTCAACATTGTTTTTTTCCTTTAAAAAACAATAATTAAAATTATTATTTAACTACTACAAACTAGCCACAGTGTAAATGAAATTATAGTACTTTTTTATTCAGTTTTAACCCCATGCTTTTAAAAATGTTTCCATCATCCCAACTGTAATGTGAGCAATCTAAAGACTATGCAGTCTTTTTTTTACGCTTTTTTAATTTTTACATTTATATATTGTCAACAGATCACAGAACATTAATATAAAAGAAGCAAAGACAACTAACAAAACATAACAAGTAACATATAGATATCTATAGAAAAACAGGAATATTAACTGTAACACTTTCTTCAAAAGATTTTATTCCATAAAGTGGTAATAAATTAAAAACTAAAATGCTTGTCAACACTTTAAAGGCTCACCGCGAGAAAGTGATGTCATAAACGAAGTTTTGAATAATTAATATATAATGGCAGGCAGAATAAGTATAAATCAAATATTCTGAATCACTAGAAAAAAAATGCATTGGGAGGGAAGCAAGTTGAGAACTCGGGAAAAAATAAAAATTGTACCAGGCCAAAAGAAATTTTATTTCTGTATTTTTTTTTTTTTTAATGGAACTGTTATACCAATGTTTCATGTTTTCAACTTCTAATTGCTCTCTTGACTAAGCAATTGACATTATATTCTTCATGTTATGGCTATCACCAGTGTTGGCAAAAATCATGAAATTTTTTTAAAGAAAAAAGCAAAAAAATGAAATTTTTTTACTTAAATCTGTTGGGTTTTTTTTCGAAAAAGAAAAAAAAAACAGTTTATTTAAAATCAAAAAAAAAATTTTTTTTTTAAAACCAAGTGATTTATAAATCATACCAACTCTGGCTATCGCCTATATTTTGAGGATCAAACGATCGAAATCAGTGAACAGAAAAAGTTACCTATTTAAAGTATGTTTTTGTGGGATTTCTCAACTTAAAATAGCATCCATATTAACTAATTAACATATTTAAGGTACACTTCATTAACCAACACAACTTGTGAAAAAAACATGAAACCATTAAGTTATTAAAGAAATCCAGCTATTAAACAAATAGAAGGATAAACAGTCACTTACTTTAGCAGCACAATTAGCATCCTTGCTTATGCAGTAGCCAATAAAAACAGGATCTGCCATCTTTACAAGAATGTTGTCTACACAGTAAACATGAACATATTGGATACCTTTTTTCCTCATGTCTTCCAAAATGCCACGCTCACGTAGAGCACGAAACAAACCCCCATTGCCATCTGCACAAAGATAAAAATTATAGAATAATTAGCTTACAGAAAAATCATAAAATACGAAACACTTCATTTCCATAATAATCTCTGATATCATTAGTCAAAGTTAAAATTTCATTTTTTATAAGACCCATAATTTACTTCCCAAACAATAAAATAAGCTGCTGTTTGAGTATGCTGTATTAAAGATTCAGTTTGAGAAAGTTTCTTAAATATTGCTTTCAGTTTAACTATAAGAGAATAATTAGTATAATATTAATTCATGAGCATTCAATATTTTTAAATTGGAAAAAAATTTCCTAAAAAATTTTAAAGAAAAGCCTTTGTTTGAAAAAAATTAACAAATTACAGTTTACTCTAGTTTTTGAAAGTTTTCTCAAATTCCATTATAGGAATAAATTTTATTGCAATTAGAAATTTTATAAATACTTGACTTCCTCGTAAACCTATAATAGTAATTAAACATTTTATTCTTGGCCTTGGGAGAAAAACCACATTGTTAATTACATAATCAGTATGAACAGCAGGGTTGGGCTGGTCAACTATTTGAAAATGAAATACAAGAAGGCAGGACCCCATAGCCATTAAAAACATAGCTAAAATTAACATAGTTTAAGAACATATTTAATAATAATTCGTTTCATCCCCTGTGGCAGAAGTTTTTTTTTAGTTATAACTAACTATATAAAGCTCTCTATAGCTATATAAAACTCTCTAGCACTAATATCTTTCTGCAAGATACTTTTAAAAATAACAAACATATATGTTACTAATTTAAAATAACAAAAGCGCTATGTTTACAAAAAAAAAACGACATACAATTTTTTTTTTACTGGATAATCGGAAATAATCGATAAATTGGAAGTCATTACGGAGAAAATGTCAGAAGAAGGCATTAGCCCACATGGCTGTCTAGCCAACTATGATGATGATGTTTAGGCCTATACCATCTTCATATTTTTTTAAGCCGGTGAAGTTTTTAATAAACTAAGTTTCACACTAATTAAGGATTTTTTTAAAAAAAAAATAAAACACTATTATTAGAGTACTAGTGGGCTGCGCCCCCTGCTCGCTAACGCTCGCCAACCACCGAAAATTGCTACACAATATTATATGGTTTGCTTCGCAAACCAAGCTCGCTTCGCTCGCTAATAACTTGCAAATACTGTCAGACTATGAATTTCAATGAACAAGGTTCGAGTAAGAGTCAGAGATCACGAGTTCGAAAAACCTCTGAAAGAGGGAGTTCGAACATTTAAAAATAATTTAACGACAGAATTTGCCTGGTATTAATTTTGAGTGTGTAAGTTCTCTCATTATGCAACTGTTATTTTGTATATATAAAACAAATCAAGATTGGATTTGGAGTTCGTTTCTTTTGATTTTCAGGACTGTATGTATTGAATTTGTTACCTCATGTTATGAAGAGGATTGTTTTTCTTTTATGATGTTTAAGTTAAGTTATGATTTTTCTTGCTTAATAAAATTTCTTGTTAGTTCAAAGATGACTTTTTCACTATGCTTGCTAAGCATTTTCCACAACGCATTAAACTCTGCCAGCAAATACACAAAATTCTAAGAATTCAAAACAATCATTCAAATCCATATAACAAATTTTTTTTTAAAAAAAAAGTTACATCTTTTTAGTAAATACTAAGTCATTAAAATAAATTTGAATTCAAATAAAGACTCATTGACTGAGACTCATTTTTCAACGAATAACTAATAATAATAAAACAAATAAATTCGTGATATAAATCAAAAATCGTCAAATAAATTAGTAATATATAAATTCGTGAAAAAAAGCCCTTTCGACAAAATTCTAAAATAGAGATCTATTGACAGTGACTACTCACTTCTGCGTAGCTTAATAGTATGAGATTGACGCAGCTGAATTGTTATTTCAGTTTCCGTTTTTAAAAGAGCTATATGTTGAGCCACCTCAACTAGATTTGGCATGTGACATTTTTATCGGCAATCATTGGTCGATTTTCTAGCGTTGCCATTCGGGGAGTTGTAATGAGGCTTTTTTTTGTCGCCGTGTAAGAGAAATATATATATAGATAGTTTTTACCTGGAGCCTTTGCTATTCTATAGGGAGTGTCGAGGATGATCTTTCCATCTAGAGTAAGGCATGGTAACATAAATTGCTCAAACACAACCACACTATCTTTTTGCAGACCAAAATAATTGTGTCGAGAAAAGAACTCAATTGTCGGGTCCATAGTATGCTCACTCGTCATAATGTACCTAGAATTTGAAAAAGCATACATCATTTCAAAATTTCATTTATGGAAGGTGAAAAAAAAACACATTTAGTAAGAACATTTCACAAAGACAAGCCAATGAATACTCCTTAATTTATATTCATCTTTTTTTTATATCAACTTGAATTCCTCAATACTGCATATTTTATTTTATTTCATAACCGTCGTTGAAAAGCCGACCCAATGTTGTGTTTACGACAACTAATGTTAAACTCCGTAGCCTTGTCCTTTTGAACCCAATCCAGAAGACAAAGGAACTCATGGATCAGGTATTGGGAGAAATTTGCTTTCGAGGACTTTTTGATGACACGCATTACCTGGAAAGGAAGACCACGAAAACCTCCCACAGTTAGCCTGATGGCAGAGGAACTCTAACCCATGATCCATCTGCCACTGAGGATGTTAAGTCAGTCAATACTGCATATTGTCACATACACCTGACACCACATTACACGATTTCTTCATTACATAGATTCATAAAATTAAAATCATAATTAGCAATCACTGACCTGCCCATGATTGAGATTTTGAATAATTTTATACTGTTATAAAGTCGAGCATACACATTACCTAGCTCCTCTGAAGAATATCCGATTTGCTACGTTAAAGTGCGAAATCAAGTATTTTCTGACACAAGTAATGTGAACACAAATGGTTTCTATATTTTTATATTTCAAAAGTTTGTTTCTATTATTCTATCAATTTGTTGATTAACTTGATTTCTTTAACTAAACTTTTAAAAAAATTAATGAATGGCATGTTAATTTCCTTAATTGAAATAATATTTTAAACTATTTGATTCTTTTTATTAATTTTCCAGTGATTGATAATTGCTTTTGTCAACTAATGCGTTAATTGCTTTTGATTGTAGTAACTTATATTTTTTTTTTCAAACAGCTAAAAACTAATAACAGGATCAATGAATAAAAAATCAATAAAAATTACACTAATTAATATGAATATGAATAATAGAACTATGAATAATAGAACTATTTTAAATAAATTAATTTTAAATCATAAAAATTAGTTTACTTAAAAAAAAATTTGAGATTTGTTTGCTTGAGATGTTTTTTTTTCTAAAATAATTGTTTTCTAATTTAACTTCTAAATGTAAAACTAAAATTATTGAAAGCACAGTCTTTAGTGCACTTAAGACTGTAACGTAGGACTGACAGTCTCTGTCAGCAATCGCCAAAAAGAGCTCCCTAATAAGAGCCACTGACAAATAATTTGAATCTACTTATTTGTTTTATTAATATTTTTATTTTGATATTTTTTGTGTTACCTTATTCCTTATTTGACATTTTCTGCATTTGAGGCGGGAGGTTTGCCCAGTCGCTGGGAGAGGCTTTGATGGTCTCTATCTAAAAGATTTCTTCCAACACAAAGTCACTAATTATGCTCCTTCCAAAAGTGATCATAAATAGAGAAAGTCATGTGGGAAGAGTGGTTATCGACAATGTCAACCTTCATCCATGAAAAGGTACCTCAACATAGAATCGAGTAAACATATCTTATATATTAGGGAATTGTAATTTTATTTTTGTAGTGGTAGGTACACTACAGCACTCCCCCACCAGAATTATATCTGTGATAGAATTCGATGAATGGATACCACTAGTTGATTCATTGCTGTTTTATGAGAAGCCGGGAGAACTATATTAAGATCACCGTGCTTTTCTAGTGCTGATCGTGAGAGTTGTATTAAGTTCACGGTCGTAGTTGCTTCTGTGTTGCCTTTAGCAGTCGAGAGTATATGTTGTGCGTGACCGAGACTGAGTAGCAACAGCACAAGGAGGTAGATAATGTCACAAGTAACAAGTCAATCATTTAATGTGGACCATCCATCTCAGTAGGCGTGTTCATATCGAAGTAAGAGTTTCTGTCAAAGTAGGCATGTTCACATCACGCCCGAAGGTCACCAATGTGGGATGGTAACTATCGACAATGTCAACCTTCATCTAAGAAAAGGTATCCCAACATAGAATCGAGTTAACACCTCTTATATACTAGGGAACTAAAATTGTATTTTTGTAGTGGTATACCATCCCTGTGTAGCGACTGTAGTGTATCTATAGATACACTACAGTCGCTACACAGGGGTGGTCTTTCCTGGAGATCTCACTGTGCTACACTTTTACTGTACTGACCCACATTTCACTGTACTGACTTTATTTTTGACAAGGATTCTGAAACTGTGCATTCAAAATGGCGCTGACTTTGCAGAGAGCTGGAATTGTCAATTAGCCTACGAGATTATACATCATAAAAAGTTTACTTGAAATTTAAAGACACTCAATCTATGGCTTTTTTTAATTTTTTGACAAAATAGCATAGAGTTAGTATGTGATGATTTTGGAAAAAAATTTGTCAGAAAAAAAAAAGAGAAGGAAAAAAAAATTTACCAAGGTATGGTGCCTCTTTTTCCAGTGAGTTTTTCGGCTAACTCTTCTAACTTGAGCAACCTCTCACCTTGGAGCTGATACAGCGTCTTTTGTGAAGGTAATCCCACATTGTACATGCCTTTAGGGTAGGCAACACCCAGCCTTGTACCTTGTCCGCCGGCCAACAAAAGAGCGGCCACTCGGCCTTCCGATATCTCTCGTAGTCCTGAAACAACATCCCTGGAATAAGACGCTTTTTGGATGTTTTCATGCATCAAAAATAATAAAAAAGGGTATCGAAACTTATTCATTTTTAATTAGTTACCTAAACGATAAGGAAATGAAATATTTGGAATAAGTAATGCAACATAGAGTTAAAAAAAATTAACCTTTTCTTATGCCTCATTTCATACTTCTCGTTTTTCTTAACGCATAGAGCAGTGTTTCCCAACGTGGGGCCCACGCCCCACCGGGGGGCAATTTGATTGTAAAGGGGGGCAATTCAAAAATGGATTCGACATGAGTTTAAACCTTTTGCTCTGGGCCATTCAAATGTAATGCGAGATTTCGGTGACAAAATCGAAAGAAAAAAGCAAATTCATAAATAATTGCGGTCTATAAATATTATGTGACTTAGGGATTTTTTTAAGCGGCAAACCTGAAATGAAGTATCTGTTTACAGTCGATGGTAAAGNAAAAAAAATTTACCAAGGTATGGTGCCTCTTTTTCCAGTGAGTTTTTCGGCTAACTCTTCTAACTTGAGCAACCTCTCACCTTGGAGCTGATACAGTGTCTTTTGGGAAGGTAATCCCACATTGTACATGCCTTTAGGGTAGGCAACACCCAGCCTTGTACCTTGACCACCGGCCAGCAAAAGAGCGGCCACTCGGCCCTCCGATATCTCTCGTAATCCTGAAACAACATCCCTGGAATAAGACGCTTTTTGGATGTTTTTATGCATCAAAAATAATAAAAATGGGTATCGAAACTTATTTATTTTTAATCAATTACCTAAACGGTAAGGGGCGGAAATATTTGGAATAAGTAATGCAACATAAAGTTTTAAAAAATTAACCTTTTCTAATTCCTCATTGCATGCTTCTCGTTTTTCTTAACACATCGAGGGGGTCGTGAAAAAAAAAAATTTAAAAAATAAGGCAGCATCTATTTTGAAGAAGCTGAATTTTTAACTTTATTTTAAATGTAAAAGGCGGAAAAAATCATTCTTGCGGAAACATTGGTACAGAAAAAACACAATATTTTCTTGACCTTTGACTAAATAGTTAACTGACGATACAACAGGTGAAACCGCGCGTCACTAGTTTCGTTTTTAAAGTTTCGATTTCGTCTGACGCTTTTGCGCGCAGAAAAGTATAAAATGTGGGGGTTTTTTTCACAAATGTTGCTAGAAATACGTTTTTGCTCACTTCGTTACAATTGTCGGAGCTGTATGATCTCTGCAATCTGCAAAAGATAATTTTTTACGATAAATTTTAAAACGAACTAGTGTTAAAATTTTTCTGACAGGGGTTATTTAGGTGGGCCGCACAAAGAGGGGGAAGCGCATTCATATGAAAACTTATGGGAATCCACCTACACTAAAACTCTCGCTTCCTCAGCGTGCTAACTCTCAGATATATGTCCAGTATTATTTCTAAAATATTTATAAGTAAGAAAAGGAACATCTTGTTAAAAAAAAAAAAAGTTTATTAAAAAACATATTTTATAAAATCGTTTTCACATGATTTTCTCAGCGTGCTAACTCTCCGATGTATGTCCAGTATTATTTCTAAAATATTTATAAGTGAGAAAAAGAATATCTTGTTTAAAAATAAAAAAAATTGTTTATTAAAAAACATATTTCATAAAATCGTTTTCAGATGATTTTCCTCGGCGTGCTAACTCTCAGATGTATGTCCAGTATTATTTCTAACGTATTTATAAGTGAGAAAAAGAATATCTTGTTTAAAAAAAAAGTGTTAATTAAAAAACATATTTTATAAAATTTTTTTCACATGATTTTCCTCAGCGTGCTAACTCTCAGATGTATGTCCAGTATTATTTCTAACGTATTTATAAGTGAGAAAAAGAATATCTTGTTTAAAAAAAAAGTGTTAATTAAAAAACATATTTTATAAAATCGTTTTCGCATCATTTTCCTCAGCGTGCTAACACTCAGATGCATGTACAGTATTATTTCTAAAATATTTATAAGTAAGAAAAAGATCGTCTTGTTTAAAAAAAAATAATTTTATTTAAAATCATATTTTCAAAATCGTTTTCACGTGATTTTAAAGTTTTCGGTATTAAATGGGTATAATATGAAAAAAACACAACTACTTCGATTTAGTAGGAACAACATATGACGCAATGCTAAACGAATGGAATTTAGTTGTTGTTTATTTAGTTATTGTTATTAGTAGTTGTTGTTATTTGTTTTAGTTGTTGTTG